GATGTGGAGTTTGTCGACAAGCGGACCATTCAGAATGTCAACCTCGAGAACGTGGAGACCTTTGACTTTGTCATTCAGCAGTACTCATCATCCTCCGACTCTCCACTCTCTTTTGGCTACAAAGTGGGCAGCATCAGTCTGCCATCGTCCTCATCACGACCCTCCTCTCGAAACGGTCGTCACCACCATCTCTTCTGTGGTAATCGCCTGTTCAGCAACTTTAACCGCCAGCTAAAGGACGGCATTCCCTTCTTTGTCGACTCTGATGAGGACGACCCCAAGCGACTGAACGTTTTCCTGCTGAACAGCCTCAATGACACTCTTCGCTACAACCTTCTTCTCTGCGTCGACTGGTCACAGTGCTCGGCGACGTTGCTGCACAATCACCAGGAACGAGGTCAGCAGCAGCAGCAACAACAGGGCAGCATGCAAATTCCCTCCTGTGATCACTACGCAAAGATCAACATTGAGCTTCAACGGGGCAGCAACTTTCTCTGCAACCCACTGCCGCTGGAGAACAATGATCTCTACGAGGTGAAGATTCCGTGGATTGCCGGTGGGGGCGGCACTGGCGAACACGCTTCGGGCAAGCGGCGTATCAACGAGTTGCTCTACCTGAACCAGTCGGCACTGTGCAATGACCAGGTCACCTACGAGCTGTCCAGTCCAATGATGGACCGGGAGACGCTGAACCGCCTCTTCACCATCACCAGTTCCACCGCCAGTTCTGTGGGCAGTTCTTCAGCAGCACCCTCAACGTTGCACTTTCGAGCACACGAGAAGTCGCTCATTCAGCGGTACCTCCACCAGGACTTTGTCCTCTCGCTGACCGCTCGCTGGAGGGCGGCGGTAGACGCTGATGAGCGGACCACCGAGCTAGTGCAAAGCGTCCCGGTGAGAGTGAAGATTCTCAGCTCTGACAAGGCCATCGGCAACATTGTCTTCCTCAATGAGAAGTCACTGGAGCTGGAGGAGGACTGCTGTCGAGTGGGGGCGGCCATTTTGCAGGCGCGCATCAACGTCAGCCATGATGACTTTCGCATTCGCTACTTCCTCGCCAGTGGCTACCACGGTGAGCAGCGCCTTCTCGGCAGTGATGACCAGTTTACGCTTAATCCCGACACTGGGCTGCTGATGCTGAAGCGGGAGCTCGACTTTGAGCGGAAGCACGAACATCGAGTGAACATTACCGCCGTCGTCTACGACAGCAAGTCGCCCATCATGTCGGTGTCGCATGTGGTCAAGATTAGGTATGTAGTGCATTGTGGAGCTTTCTTAATTCTAACCATTGTTTTTTTTAAACAGAATCCTCAACACCAACGACGAGTCGCCCGTTTTTGTGCGGCGGTCCTACGAGAAAGAGGTGCTGGAAAATGTACGCCCCGGTTTAGTTCTGCTTAACGTGGAGGCGAAAGACAGCGACCAGCAGCCACCGAACAGCCTTCAGTCTGCCTTCAACATTTCCTACGTCCTGCCGGGCAGCTACCAGCACGCCGACTACTTCTCGCTGAACGGTCGCACCGGTGAGCTGAAGCTGGTGAAGGCGCTGGACCGAGAGGACATTGAGCACTTTCACGTGCCAGTCTACGCCTTTGACGAGGACCTGAAGCACCAGGCGTTGACGCTGGTCCACCTAAGGGTGCTCGACGTGAACGACCACCCGCCGAGGTGCGTTCAGGCGAGCAGTGAGCTGAAGGTGCCTGAAAGTGTCGCTCCGGGAACTGTCATCTACAATGTCATTGCCGTCGACCCTGATCACAGCAGTGCCACGACCACTACTGCCAACATCAGCTCTCTGGAAATGACCACCAGCAGCAGCAGTCTTCAGTACCGCATCCTCTCGGGAAATGTGGCCAACAAGTTTGTGCTGCACCCGAGTCGCGGCGAGCTGAGNGCTCCGGGAACTGTCATCTACAATGTCATTGCCGTCGACCCTGATCACAGCAGTGCCACGACCACTACTGCCAACATCAGCTCTCTGGAAATGACCACCAGCAGCAGCAGTCTTCAGTACCGCATCCTCTCGGGAAATGTGGCCAACAAGTTTGTGCTGCACCCGAGTCGCGGCGAGCTGAGCACCAACGCCCCGCTGGACCGTGAGATGCAGAGCACCTACTCGCTGGTGGTGGAGGTGTCCGACTCCTTCTACAGCACCACCTGCAATGTCACCGTGGAGCTGGCCGGCGTCAATGACAACAGTCCCATCTTTGAGAAGGCCGACTACTACGCCATCCTCGACCTGGACGGCACCTTTGGCTGGCTGACGGTGGTCACCGTCCGGGCCATTGACTCGGATGGCGACAAGCTGCTGTACACTATTGACACTGCCAGTACAAGCAACAGTGCCAACACCGCCGGCAACCTCACCCGTTTCTTCACCAT